AGTTACCGCAGGAGAACCCCCATAACAGACAGAACCTTCAGACATGGCGGCGAACAAGAGACGAAGCAACAAAGATGACGGTGATGTTAGGGTTGTGGATCGAGGGCTGTTAAGCAAGAGGCTCTGATACCATGTAAGGTTTATCAACCGTGAGATTATACTATTGACCTAGGGTATATTTATACCCATAATAGTACATGATACAGACTGAACAGGAAGACTAAACACAACTAGGAGAAGTAAACAGTATACAAGTGTAACGAGGATTACTAGAACTAAACGAACAAAGACTTGTCCCTAATATTCTTCACAGCCCTCAGCAAGTAATGGGCCTTGTGGCGGTGCTTTGGCGGATATGGAAATCCCGGAACTGGGTTGTTTTTATGGCAAGCAGTTTGGGATCCTTGCGTTGTTGCGGCAGTACCACCAGCAAGTACATGAGTGGTTAGCTCTTCCAAAGGATGGGATTGTGCAGGCTTCGCGTGCTGGGAGTGTGGGAGTGAATCCTGTTTCTCTAGGTTCATTGGTCTATTGATGGGATGGAGCGACCGGACTGGGTTCCCATGCGGCGCGGGGGGGGGGGGGGATAGTTCTCCTGGGTCATGATAGGGCGGTTATTACTGCTACGGCTATTCACTTCCCTGGCATGGATGATCCTCTGCTGGTTGAGCTTTTGGCCCTACGGGAGGTGATCACTTGGTGCAAACAGATCCTCTTGAACGTATGGTTTGAGGGATATGCGAAGGTCATCATTGATAAACTTAACAAGGTCCAAGATGGTGATAGTTGAGCGGGAGCCATCTTCCGTGAGGTGGCGAGCACTTTGTCTGAGAATATAGGGTTTAAGATACAATTTGTTGGTCGGTGTAGTAATAGGGTAGCCCATCTAGTGGCTCGTAAGGCCCTTTCTTTGTACCCGACCGTGTGTCACTCGTTTGATTTTGTAGCCTGGTTTCGTTCTAGGATATAATGATCGAGGGTAAAATACCTCGGGTGCCACTTAAGTTTGAGAATTGGAGTAGGCATACCACTTAAGTTTGAATAGGGCGTCGGGTACCACTGAACTCTATTATATGTGCACCCGGTACCACTTAAGTTTATTGTTAAGTGCATTCCGTTAAAGTTGACAGTATATTCTTGGAATATTCCATTTTCTAAATTTCATAACTGGTCCTTCTACTTTGCTTATTTAAAAAAATCATTTGGACTTATGAAAATATCATTTTTTATTGTTTAGTTAGAATCCTCTTTTGAATACTTGATAGTAAACCAATTTTTGAATATAAATTTTAGAATCAGTTATCATTATGTGTTCTAATAATTGAATTATTCTATGAATGTTGTAACTAAACAATGTTGTAGCTTTTATATTCATATTTTCTTTTCTATATTTTTTATCGAATGTTGTAGTTTTTATATTTTGTTTATTACTTGGTTACTTTTCATCTCTTTTCGTTCTAAATTTTTTCAATTAGTGAAATATGTTTAATTCTTTTTTATTGTGTACCATTTAACCTTTTTATTTTGATGTATTGATGATCGATTAGGTTCTATTTTAACTATTTTGTTTAGGTAAAACTATTTTATCTATTTCTAATAGTGCTTCTAATTGAATTAGGGAGTTTAAATAGATATTCTAATATTAATTTTAAATATTTATTAATATTATATTCTAGCATATTTATTATTCTTCTCGATATTCGTTTATTATTTTTACTAATTTATCTATTTTATTGAAAAAATTTGATTAGTCATTCTAGTAATAATATGTTTAGAAGTTTTTCTAATAATTATATTAGATAAAACTTGTTGAAATATAGTTTTGGGTTGGATTGAAAAGTAGACGGATGCACCTTTTGGCAACTTTAATGGTACCAGACGCCCGATTCATACTTAAGTGGTATGTTTACTCCAATTCTCAAATTTAAGTGGCATCGGGGGTATTTTATCCTAATGATCTATTAGTTCAATCAATATATCTGATTATTTTTAAAAAAATAGTGATTGATGAACGAATTTGTGGGATCACATCACTAGTTTGTTTTCTTTCCACTTCTTTAGTCCATATCTGTTTCTTCCCTTTCTTTATTCACCAACAGTTATCTCCATCTCTCTTGGCTTGTCTCCATTTAATCTATTTTTTTGTTAATAAAAGAGAGGATTAGTACAGGCGAAGGAAGGATAAAAGAAACAGAGAGATTTTGCAAATGATTTTGCATCTTAATGATCACCTCACATACAGTTTATATATAATCCACTCATATATGCCGCTCGCTCGTACATTAGTTAATTTTATCCCTAGTCACTACTCACTACCAAATACCAATAGTCCAACGCTGAGAAGGAGAAGAAGAAGAAGATGCGGGTGGGAGTGGCAAATTGGCAGTGGCCAATGGGGAGATTATGGGGTGGGTGAGGGGGAGTGGGAAAACGACGACTAGTAGGCAACTTGAAAAGAAAAGGATCAAATCCAAAATCCACCTCAGCTGGAGCTATTGGTGGAATTCTCCCACCCAAAGGATAGGTGGTGGGATCGCTAATTTGTACCTTTTCGGCCTTTTTCTGAAAACTGGATACGTGGCTGTCTGTTGTCGGCTTAAAATTTGAGCGGAGAAGAAGCGCGTACTACCAGCAGCATGGACCTGACAGCTGCCTCGTTGGCTGAATCCTCCTTCTCGAACTATTCACTATTCAGCACATGCATTCAAAAGCCACAATTAATTCCGTCCAAAAATAAAAGACGCCATTAATAAATGTAACGACGAAGATTCAACTGTCGGAGTGAATCCGATAGGTAACGCTTTTTTTTAGTTTCCAATGAGTTTTCAGCTTAGGTTACAGATTTATTATTACGATTTTTTCTTCCATTAAATTTTACTTACTCTATACATTTTATTTTAAGTCGGAATTCAACCATTTTTATAGGCAATGCAGTCAAAATCGTACTTTAAAACTTAAAAACTTACGCTTTTATCTTTTTTGGTGACCAAAACGCTCCTACATAAAATTGTGATTTTCCCTTGCAAATGTAGTCAAAATATACGTTTTAAAACTTAAAAGCTTACGGTTTTACGCTTCTAGGTCATCCAACCGCTTCTAAGTAGAATCGCGCTTTTGACTGCATTGCTTATAGGTACCATTTTATACTTTATACTATGATGGCAAAACTTGGTAGTATTATATCATGGTGGTATGAAAGTGTATCATGATAGTATGAATATATCATAGTTTAGAATGATTGTATACATAATAATAGGAATATACTAATCATCATTTCTCACATTTTACTACTATCTACCATCAATTACCACTCTATACTAGGGTGATATATTTGATCCTGAATTTTTTCCTATAAATTTGTAGATCACAATAGATTATGATGAACCTGTTCCACTTGTGCAAAATTTTCTAAATTTAACTTAAAAACGAAGGTGGTGCATAGTGTTATTAAGTGGTACCTGGGTGGTTAAGAGTAGTTATGGGTGGTATAAGAAAACCTCACGAAATATATTAAAATATGAATATGATTTTGTAAATTACAATGAACATATTTCATATGTGCAAAAACTTTTAAAATACAGGTTAAAACAAAGAAGATAGGAGCCGATTAAATAAGTTTAGAAAAAAAGTTTAATCCTACCTTTTAGGTCTTGACCCACTAAAAATTAAATGAGACAAATTGATTATGCGCAATTGTTATGCACCCTACTACTCCAGACCACTTATATGTAGATGGATTCAACATGTTAAGTTGTTTCGGAAAGTCATTTTTCTGTGTTATATTAAGGATAATTTCAAATGACTAGCAAGAAAAGTGCAATTTGTGTTTTGTTAGTATTTCTTGCTAAGGTGAAAAATACTTTATCATCCATATTAGTAAATATAATTTGGTCCATCGTAATTTAAGTGAATATTTTTTTTCTTTTGTTTTATTTGACTAAATTACACAATGGGTGACTTGGGACGGGCGGGGTGGTGTGATTTTAGACGAGATATCTCAACTCCGGGAGTTATTCACAGGTTTTTCATTTGGGTTTCGAGGCAGGGAGAACAATCGAGCGGCTCATTTGGTAGCCAAAAAGGCTCTTTCTTTGTTTCCTGCAGGTGTTTGTGGTTTTGATTTTCGGATTTGGTTATTATGTGGGTTGTAAACATTGGTATCTATTTCTCTTGGTAATGCAAGTGAGCTTTTGGCAAAAAAAAAAAAAATACTAAATTACACAATGTGTAGCTCTATCTATCATTTTTTACATTTATCCAATAAATATCATGTTTCTTAATTACTTACTTTAAATTCATATCATTGCTGACTACCAACCATTCGGTTCGTCCTAAGTAGGACCGCAAATAAGTCGAGTCGAGCTTTACCCCAATTTGAGCTCGTCTTGTTAATAAACGAGCTGAGTTCGAGCTCGAGTCGTTTATTAACGACTTGAGTCAAGTCGAATTCGAGTTAGCCTTGTTAATTGAAATCTTGTCTAAGTATTTCAACATTAACTAATTTCATGTTATACTTTGTTGATATCATATTATTTAGTTAATAAATTTTAACTAGTCCAAATTATGTTATTTCATAGTACCAAAATCATTTATGATGCATAATTCCTTTTTAAAATTAAAATTAAGATATATTTTCTCACATACTCAACGTGTTAAACTACATATACGGTGAGATATATAAGGTAACAATCCTATGAAGTAAAATCCAACTCATAAGATATTAGATCGATTCGCTCATAAGTTGGTAATCGAGTTGGCTCTCTACCCACAATGTTAAGACATCTCATGAGTTCTAAACGAGACAACTCACGAGTTGAGCTCAACAAGCCACCGAATCAAGTTAGCTTGCGATTTTTACGAGCTGAACAAAGTGAAGCTCAAATTCGGCTTGTTAATAAACGAGTTGAGTTTCGAATACGCTGAACCGCTCGTCTCATTTGCAGCCCTAATCCTTAGTGGCAATCAAACATTATCTGTGAACCTCAAGCTAAGAGACTCAATTAAAAAACATAGAAAATAAAATTATATCTTTTTACTGTTCCGCCACCGCCCCATTAACTCCAATACTATGGAGGCAATTTGAAGAGTGCATCCCTCCAATTACAAAGGTTGTATTTTCTACTGTTAACAGTCCTGGGGGCTGTGGCTGGAAAGTCGGCACAAGGGTTTCAGGAGTAAACATTTAGGAGTAAATTAGTAATGATTGAATTGTGTATCAAGGTTCTTAATCTTAAGTTTAGTGATAGGATCCGGTCTGGTCTCTAAAGGGAAGGCATGTCCGAGTCAGAGGAGGTAGAAATATGCTACAGAAAGCATCTAATCTTAGCAGGGCAGACGGCCATCAATTTGGATTACAAATTAAGCAGACGGACGTGGGGGCAGAATCTACAAATCTCTTGTGTTTTTTAATCGTAGCAAACTTCCCAAAAATGAAAAAGATTAGAAGAAAAAGCAAACAGCCTATATTCAATGATTGGCCCGCTTCAAACTCCTACAACTCAGGAAGTCCTGCTAGCGAAGTCAGCTGCTCTTTTAGAAGGTGGACCCATAAGTGCCCGACCATAAGCTGCAGGCAATGAAGCGAACTTCTTTGCTTTCCCTACATAGGCCCGCTTGGTGAAGTTGTCATAATCGTTCGCTTCAATGGCGTCTAATATCTGCTTATAGAGCAGTAGAGATGCCCACACCGGCCATCTGCTCGCCCCGTTTAGCTCCCCAACACCCTTTTCCGCCTCATCGAAGAACATCCTTGCCCGCTTGATCTGCCCTTTCATGAAACTCCTCCATTTTTCCGTCACCTTACCCTTGAATATGTCCTCGTCGGAGAGCCCGGCTTGCCTCAGCTCGTCCTGCGGCAGATAGATCCTTCCTCTCCTCGCACTGCCAAAAGAATAACAGGGAATATTGGATCAAACAGATGGCCACCAGCTTATAGAATGACTGGCTGTCTCATATGTGGACGCATAGAAGAACTCTGTTTTCAGCAAGTGATGGAAGCATTAACGAAAACAAAGGAAAGCTTACTCTTCTCCAACATCTCTTAGTATGTTAGTTAGCTGGTTGGCGATCCCTAAGGCCAATGCAGCATTGTAAACACTCTCGGTGGAAGCTTTTGATTCAGGGGAGATCCCCATTACAGGAACGCTCATTAGGCCGACTGTCCCAGCAACATAGTAGCAGTAGAGGTAGAGCTCGTCGAAATTCTGGTATCGCGATTTCTCCAAGTCCATCCGCATTCCTTCAATCATGTCCTTGAACGGCTGAAGCAGGAAAAGAGGGCCAGGGTCATTCAGTTATAGATAACATGAAAGATCCTAACAAGCAGAAGCAAAGGAGTGCGTGATCCAAGTAAATAGAAACCTATCTACCTGAATATCGACAGGGTATTTCGAGACTGTATCTGATAGAGCAGCATCAAACATGTCATATGGGCGGCCTTGAAAGAGATCATTCAGTCTTGTCTCCCATCTATCGAGAGCCTTGGGTGTGATGTGAGTTGCATTGGGCCCGTCCACCAGCTCATCAGTCCTTCTGCACCAAACTTCACAAAAACACAGCGAACAGACAGCACGTTCAATTTCTTGTGCTGGAATAACTAGTTATTCGGCCGCCATAACCAATCCAAGTAAAGCCTAGACAGACACAAACAGTTGGCAGATTGAGACAAGAAGAAGCAGGAAGCAAAATGGGTTTCGATGTAACAGTTAAAATGGAGAAGGACAAACAATAACAGCGACGAATGAGAATGACATATGAAAATGAGTATTGACCTCCCAACTCATGATGACAAGGAAACGAGACAGAGCTCACATACCATAAATTGCCCACACAGCTCTTCGCCGCTCCGGTGTCATCAACAACGTTCCTGCAATGATGTATCGAATTTGAGAGCAAACTTCAGTACTACAAACATCTCGTTTCTGGTTGTAAAACTTTTACAGAAGGGAAAGAGGAGCCTGGAACTTGAAAAGAGGTGGTTGAACAATCGTCATAAATTAGTATTATCTCAGTGGGCCTGGCAATGGAAAGGGAGCTGAGCAGAACGTATCGTTCCTCTTCCCTAATCTCAAGCAGATTGATTCTCTCTAGCAAACAGAGGGAATCTCTGAGGGGAGACTCTTGTTGTTATGCAAACGACCCAACGAGGAGTCACCCAATTATTTAAAAATAAACAGAAAGGGTTTGACGCTTTCAAGACCGAAATTGAAACACCGGAAAAAAGGAAAAGTAGAAGAGTTGTTTGCAAGGTTCAACACAGATTGTATCATCACCGGAAGAAAGATAAACCAATCACAACTGGAACTGTATCAAATAGCTAATAATACTAAATAAACAAATAAGACCTCGCAGACTCTATTCCCCCGCCAAGTTAAAAAAAAATGAAAACTCAAGAACAGAGAAAGGAAGGGGCGGAGAAACGGAAGGGGGCAATTACCCAAGTAAAACGTTTTGGCGTACTCAGCGCAGACCTCGCCGCACCGATCGTAAGCTTCGTTGAGAAGATCCCAATTCGATTCCGTTCCGGCCACTGCCTCTTCCTCCACCGCCCGTCTCTGCAGCTCCTTCACCAGCGCCGCCTGCTTTAGCACCACCTCGTACACCTTCTCTTCCGAAGATCTTGCCGGGCTCGCGGCAACGGCGGCTGCGCTCGAGTACACAGCAGACGCCCTGCTGTTCGAATTCATCAACGACGACCCAATTCTCAGCCTCTGGCTCGTACCGCCACCGCTGGCGCCTCTGGGCCTGATTCCCAGCTGTGAAGCCACGCCGCCGCCGGTTCCGGTCCTGGGTATGAGACCCACCAGAGCGGAGGAAGTGACGGCATTCTCTTTGGGACCAACAACCCAAAGGAGAGCGGCGGCGGCCATGTCGAAGGAGGAAGAAAGCGAATGTGCTATGAGTAATCGTCGATCTGGCCGGCGAGTTTGGGTTATAGCTTCTTTTTGTGTGTGTGGTTGAGGAGGAGATAGATGGTGGACAGTGTGGCACAAAGAGAAAGAGAGTGTGTGGAAAGTACAGTTTGTTTTGGAAGAGAGAGTTGTGAAGGAAATTTTCCTTTCTCCCCTCTCTTCTCTTTGCTGCTCTGTTTGTTTGTTTATTCCAAAATTTTCTCTCTTCACGCTGTGTTTCCTGCTTTTGCTCGACCGTTTGGCTCTGGCTAATAAATGAGTGAATGGAGGGTGTGGTTCTCTGATTCTCTCCTCAACAAAAAATGAAAAAAGAATTGAGGAACAAGATCAGAAGGAATGTGTGATGGATAATGCGTTTGGTGTTTCCCGTCCCTAATTTTTATTTTATTAACGTTTTTTTCTTTGTACCAATACGTACACGTATTCTTTCAGAATCCGGCTACTAGGCTACTCATACGTGTTTTGTATGCAAGAATATGCGGATCCTATTGAAAATGAAATACGGCAGATGGGTTGGCTACTTGGCTTTATGGTTGTTACGAGTTACCAAGATGATATTGCTAGTCGGTACAATTGGTTTCAACCAGTATCGATTACAAAATTTGGTGAATTTTATTCCGTAGAAAGAGATGGCCAATTTCGATCTTTGAATAAAATTGTATTATGTAGAAAGATATGACCAATTTCGATCTTTGAATAAAATGACGTTATTTTGGTGAATTTAATTAAAAAATTAATTTTGATTTGTTTTTTAAATTTGAAATTTAAATGTTATGTTATTTGTTGGATTCAATTATGAATGTTTAGATGTTTATGTTATTTATTGGACTCAAATATAAATATTTGAATGTTTGTTTTAAATGTTGCATTAAATTATGATTTTTTTTATTTTTTTAATGTTGTATTTTATTTACATATGAATGTAGATTTTAAAGATATTGTATTCAAATATGTTATATATGTCCCTAAATTCATTTAGTGTTAATGATTCCAACTTCCCTACATGTTTTGCTAAAATCGTCATAAATTTATGATTGGCACGGGGTGGATCGGGGACGGGTAGTTAGCTTCCGTTACCCATCCGTCAAGGCTGACGGATTTCCCCATCCCCGTCCATCCAGCTTTGACGGGTTGAGTTTGGCTACCGTCTCCGTTCCCATCCGGATCCGGGTAACCCACGGATCACCACGAATCTGGAATCCTAACAGAAAAAAACCTGAAAAAGACATGTCTACATTCCTAAAATTCAAAGTACCTTGCTGTTCAAGACAATAAATTCAAAACACAAAAGGAAGATCTAGGGATGTAACCCAAATCCCAGCCCCCAGCACCCAAATCTTCATAATTCAAACAAAAGTGATAGGTTGCAGCAAGCAAACAAGTTGCTGCAACCAATTTCCCACCACCCAAAACCCCTATAACATGTTCCTCACTACATCTACTGACTAGTGTTCAGGTTCAAAAGGAAGAGTTTGAAAAAAAAGGCAGTCAGCCCTAATAACATCATCCATAAATCATACTAAAACCTATACTACTAGCACACGAGTTCTGATTCAGGCCTAATTGTACACTTTGTATCTCCAATTCTCTTTGACGTTTGTTGTAGTTGAACTCCAAAAAGGTTGGTTTTGCGCGAGGTTGTTTTGTGTTTCAGTGTGTTTCAGATCCTAACAGGTAAAACCAAGCCCAGAGTCGAAAGTTGGAAGAAAAGGAGCAAAGACCGGGCAAAGAGGTGGAGACAGCCAATGTTCACGGCCTGGCGTTGGAGTTCACGGTCTCAAAGGGCCGTGAACTGGAGCAAAGACCCGTGAACCGAGGAGCGTCCAGAGAGGGTTTGCAGGTTACTGACGCCCAGGCTGTTCACGGTCGCTAAGATAATGAACAGAGGCCACTGACCGTGAACCCGAACCATTGAAGCGGTGCATTTTGGTCTCAGCACTGAGTTCACAGACACGTTTCAATGTTCACGACCGTGAACTCAGGCCATGAACTGGGCGCGATCTCAACTTAAAAGGCCAGTTGAAAGAAAGAAGAAAAAGGGGGAGAGAGACCTAGTGTGAGAAACTTCTCCTTCTTCAGATTTTAGAGTGAGAAAGTGACGAACCAAAGAAGAGGAAAAGCTAGGGTTTCATCTCCAAGCAAGGTTTTGGGAATTCCTCCCCCAAAGGAGGATTTCTTCAGCACAAGGAGCCAGGCTTGCATCTTCTTGATGGTTTCCCTTTCCCTCTCTTCTGTTTTCCCTTCTTCTAGCATGGAGTAGTCTATTCTTTCACTTGGGTGTTTTTAAACCCTAGCTACAATTATGTGAATGCTTGTATGAATTGAATGATTTGTGTGTGATTGTGTTTTAATGTGAATGTGGAAGTATTATTCAGAAATGATTGTGTTGTGTGAAAGCCTATCAATCTAATTGCCATTCTAACCTAGCTTAGAGAAGAGACTTCCTTAGGTTAAGAGGCTCAATTTGAGATGGGTGTTCTTGGTAATTTCATGCCTTTTAGGATAGTTTAGAGAGGAAACCTCCTTAGGTTAAGAGGCTCAATTTGAGATGGGTGTTCTTGGGCATTTCATGCCTCCTATGCTAGTTTAGAGAGGAAACCTCTTTTACCCAAAGAGGCTCGATTCGAGCTGTGTTTCCTTGGGCATTCAATGCCTCCTAAACTAGTTTAGAGAGAACCCTCCTTAGCCTAAGAGGCTCATTTCGAGATGGGGTTTCTTGGGCATTGAATCGCACGAAATTACACCACGAATTAATCCCTACCAGAGCTCAAGTTTTTAAACTCTAGCCGGGTGCAGTATAGAGCAATTATTTAAATTGGCAACCCGGGTCTGTCCATGTGCCCCTACTTCAATAGCTTAAGTTGTTATCTAGCAAAACGGTTTTGGGTTTTCAAACTAAGAAAACTACAAACTAAACAAGCAATAAAGAAAAATTATAACCAAGGGAGCTTCACCCAGGCGTTGCTTCCCCCTAATTAGCTACCGTGACTCACTAGATTGAAACAATTGCTATGGGCAAGGTAACCGCGAACCGTAGAGGGATGCAAATGTGGTCGTAGACCACAATCTCAATTGCTAAACCGAGGTAAACATTATAGGCCGTGTCACTCGGCACTCTCGGTTTAGGCAATCGATGGTTGACTTACTCCCTCACTAAACTCAAGGGTTGCATGGCTTAATCGCGCTTAACCAATTTGTCTAATTAAACATTGAGGTTGCCCTAAATTAACCTAGTTAGGTGGCTTAAAAAGCTAAAGGAGAACCAACTCGATAGAGTCTCCCTTGGAAGTGGGATTTTCCTCTCTAAGCTAGGTTAAAGTGGCTTATTAGATTGCAAAGCACCAACATGCACAAACCTAAGGATGCTAAGCACAATTATGCACAATTCTTAGGTTGCTAAGCACCAACATGCACAAACCTAAGGATGCTAAGCACAAAACATGCACAACCCTTAGATTGCTAAGCACAAGCATGCACAATCAACATGAATAATACCCCAATCATTGCATGAACAATACCCAATGACAATCATTCAATCTAAACAAGTAATTACAAAGTATTAGCTAGGAATCTACAACACCCAAGAGAAAAGAGTGAGTTTCTAAAGAGAGAGAGGGGAGATTACAAGGAAACCTCCAGATCTTCTTCTTCTTCTTCTTCTTCTTCTTCTTCTAGGCTTGAATCCTAGCTTCCAAGCTTGATCAATGCCTTCAATTAAGCTCCAAGATCACTCCCTCTCTCACTAGAACTCCCCTTTGGTGTTTTGCGTTGAAACACTAGAGAAAGAAAGTGTTCCTTCTCCAAAAAACAAATCCCCCTTCTCTCTCCCCACTGTTGTCTTCATATTTGCCCGAGAGTGATCAGTTCACAGAGGCGTTGGCCAGTTCACGGCCGTGAACACCTAAACGCGTCCGTGAACTCAGTGTCGTCCAAAACACGTCGCTTCACTCTGTTGGGTTCACGGTCAATGGCCCCAGTTCACGGTCTTAGAGACCGTGAACTGCCTTGTCGTCAGTAATTTCTGGAACCTCGTTGAACTACTCGATGTTCACGGTTTGTGATCCATGTTCATGGTCTCGGGAGACTGTGAAGTGCCTTGCCTGGCCGTGAACTGCGACTATTTCCTGGACGCCTTCACTTCACTATTACAGATTTTAGACTTTTCTTTGGTTTTTGCGCTTTTTGACCTCCAATTATCCCAAAATTCGACCTTGACCCTTACACACATGCTGAGACCTGAAATGTATAAAAAAATCACAATCTAGCGCGAAATATGTCGAGGAACGATGAAATGCTAAGCTAAACGAATAATAAATGAGGGGTAAAATGTGTACATTTGGGCCCGAATCACTCCCCCACGCTTAGACGTTTGCTTGTTCCCAAGCAAACCATTCTCAACTCAGGTAATATTTCAACCTACAAAGATAGCTAGCGGACATTTCAAAAGGCACAAGGTTGTGAATCTCAAATGACTATTTGGGCATCGACACTTGAACCGTCTAAAAAATTCCGGCATCCACCACAAATAACATTCAATTGCATCAAAAGTGGGCAAATGAAAATTCCTCACTCTATCCACAATCAATGCAAGTCTCGACCGTGCCATTGATCACAACCGACCATGCATATAATCAAGTCAAAGGAACAGACAACGGGGCAACATTGGTCCTCACCGAGATAGATATGAACATGCAAGAACAAGAATGAATCACTCACTCTCGACCAGTGGGTTCAGGACCTTTTGGTGCAAAAGATGTGCACAAACATCACCACTCATCCCTACCATCTCACCACCACGGTGGCAACCTCTAAATGCTAGAGTTTCATGGAATGGTTGTCATCACTAGCTTGTCCGGAGGTCTTAGACACGAGTTCACATGACTAGAAATTGTCTTGGACATGGGGAAAAGGCCTTTTGGGTGGTGGCAAACACAACATGAGGTTCTACATCTTCAACCTAAACCCGAAAGGTCTATGGTTTTGACTAAGAACCATCTCTACAAACAAAGGCCACTAGCATCGGTAAGAAGCCTTACTTCTCCCTTCCAAACTATCACCCATCATGAACTACATTTAAGCGCTCTTCCTCGGTCTTCTCTTGTTATCACCTTTCAATTTGGTAGTGAAGGAGTTCTAAAACAATGTGGGGGTCTAAATGGCTTGAGTGCCAAGAAACCCCTCCTAGAGTATACACTTTGATTTTTGTGGCACCCTCTACTTTATTTAGCCCGTTTTATTACCTCTTTTTCGATTCCTTTTTCTTTTCTCTTCTTTTTTCTTTTTCTCCTTTTTGAGGGGGGTACTAGAGAGTAAAATTTTTGCCACCTATACATTTAATGACCAAT